CCTCGACAAGCTCCAAGTCGGCTGGTCGTCTCGGTGGCTGTGCCGCTGCCATAACGAGGAAAGGGAGAATGTCGTTCACAGTCCTGAGACGGGATGGGCTCGAATGCGTCGCGGAGATATAGGAGGAGGATGACAAGAGTCGACCGGTACCGCTGTTGAAGAGCTTTGCCACAGGATATGCTCCAGACGCAAATTGTCGCCAGACAGCGATTCGGAGCAGCGAACGCAGCAAAACGGGACCGTCCGCAATCTAGTCGATATAAAACTTATTCGATACGTTCCGGAGCATGATTTCGAGTCCCCGGAACTGCTGCTTGAGCTCTCGAGAAGGAATTTGAGGAAGCGCTTGTCGCTTCGCCCATGCATACAGCAAGTATGCTGTCTTTTTCTAACCCAGCGAGTAAGGTTCTCCCAAAGTAGTGGTGCCGGAGGGACAAGAAAGCGCCAACGGGAGAGGGGATTCCTCGACGCGGAAACAAGGGCGAAAGGTGACGAGTATGCGGGGAAGGCATCGGTGGCTTTGTGGATGGGCGCATAAGTTTCCTCGTAGAGCCAGGCGGGTGATGACGGAGTATCATATAGTGTGGGGAAAACGCTGGTGGGTCCCATATAAGGAGGAGAGTAGCAGGAAGTCGTATATACTATTTCCCGCGACTTCATGCGTAATCAGAGGCCATGACGCCAATTTCCGACTCCATCTCCGTCGATTGTGGAACTGGCGACTGAGACTAAGCGCAAGGGAGAGTATGAACGCCGGAGGAGCCGCAGAGTCGCGGGGAGGGGGAAGAGATAAATGAAGTTTGTAACGGGTCCGCACAATTGCGCCGCGACTGTTGCGCATAATGACGCGACCACATAGTATGTCGGGGAAATTGTGTGGGTGTCGCAAAAAGCTGTCGAAGCGGAGATGGTGGTGTTCATGCAATTGGCGTCATTCGACTCATTGCGAAGAGAAAGCGAGAGTCGTGGTGTCCAAGGAAGCAGATGATGTATACTCCGATGGATGCTCGCAGCAGGATCCTGATTTCTGCTGCAATGAGAGAGACGGGGAAGGTGCGCAAAGTGCATGTGCCGAGAAGACGATGATATTCAGTGACAAGCCATGGCATTGCTTTGTTGTAGGTTTGTATGCTGTGGAAAACAAATAGGATGGTTGGCGCGAAGTCGGTAGAAGGTCAGGGACCGACAGATGCAAGACGAAACGCAGAACTGGTCCAACTTTGGGCTCCCTTCCTAATAATGAGCATGGCTACGGAAATGCTGGGGAGAAAACGCACCGTTGACGCCCCAAATCTCTTTTCGAGGTTTTCCCAGTTCACAGATCCATTCGAATAGTCGGTAGACTGCTCTCGTTCTCCGCGCTGATGCTTCTCTGGGGTTCTCCCAGCCAAAGTGACGATGTTTCGACCTAGCGCGGTCCCAGAGTGTACCCGTACGTCCTTGGCATGCCGTGGATGTTGGGAAGACGTGGATAGGCGTAGCTTCTGGAGATATAATGATGCTGAATGCTTGCTGGGGTCTGAGAACAAAGAAAGAGTCAGTCCTGAGCAAGGCCAGCCAGTCGGAAACGAACCGTGTAGCGAGTCTGGCGAGCTATTAGAGGCGAAGCCCCAGCGCATCGTGCTCCGCCGCATCCTTCTGCTCCGCTCGACCCTGCAGTTCACCTCCCCACTTTCCGATCTGCCCCATGCGCCACATCATCGGTGTTTCCCCCCTTGTCTTAAGCTCCATCGAGTCGTTGTGCGTCTTCTGTTGACTGAGTAGAAGTGCTCAAGTGCAAAGCTGGTGGCAGACAGTCTGGCGACATGACGGAAAAGAAGAAGAAGAGCTTTCCTTATGGGGCTCTTTTCCCAAAGGGCGCTTTCCTCAGCACGAGAGCGCCGACAACGGTGCATTATGCTCATTCACCTTCTTTCTTGAGAACATAGGTTCTATACTTGGAGTCCGGACACGACAATGGTACTGTATGTATGCATGTATGTATGTGTCAAGGACTGGGAAATAAAGTGCTCTAGATAACCAATCCGAAATATCTGAGTACTGCAAGATCGAAATCAATATAGGTATCGCGTAAGGAAAGAGCAGAAGTAAAAATATATGTATGGGGTAGAAGCCCTGCTACGCAAGAAAATCTATGTCCGCCAGCGTTCGTCATCGGAGATAGGGACAAAAAGCATTGCGCCGCCATAGTCTTGTTGGGAAGATGGCTCTCCCATCCGCTAGGTCATCAGCCGCAAATGGCGTATTTGGCTTTTCCTCCTCAGAGAACAACTTCGGATCCAGCGAAAGAGTCAAGAAAGTGCTCGTGGCCTGGCCCAGGAAGTAAATTTGGAATGGGGCCATGATCTCGTTCGTGGGCTCTGGCGGGGAACACGGCAGAGTATTGCCGTTAAGGAAGTCGATGGTTATGATGAATAAAGAGGAAGGGACGCCAAATTGCTTGTATCGGCACAGTTGTCGAAGGGAGCGACGATGATGGTTTCCCCTGGACATATATTTATTTCACGCGAAAATGTGCGAGAGAAGGTTTGGAGGCAGATCTTGAAAGAGCGCAAGAAAGAGCGCAAGATATAGCGATATCTCGAGGGAACGATGAGGAGGAAGGGCATCTTGAGGTTCGAATTCGGCCAACAGACCCGTCTTGAAACGAGCGCGTGTGATGAAAGAGTGCAATTTGGTATCGGGAAAGTCGTTCGCTCGCGATCGGAAGTTTGCACGGAGAATCTCGTTCGACATGTGGCCATCGAACGCAGGGATAGAACGGATTCGTGCACATTTCGGCAGTTATCTCGAGTATACGAGCATTCTCTGTCGAGTGGTGGTACCTTTTGAGCGATGAGGATGTGGAGAAGGTGGACCGGACCATGCTGTCGAGGAAAGGGATGGTGCCCGGAGAAAAGCACCTGCTAGAGTAATCTGAATGGTCATCGGGGAAGTCGTTCGTGAAGAAGCGAGAGGTCAAGACCGCTCGGGAAAGCAATATGTATATGTGGCGGTTCTCTGGGACATTTGGCAGTCCAAATGAGAAGAGTGAGTTGACATGGTATCTCGGGAATGCTGGGGACGACCGCGCTTCCTCTTGATAATAGAAATAAGGCGGGAAACGTTCCCAGCAAGAAGGTACCGAGGAAGGGGATGTCGTGCTCAAGAAGGGAGCCCTTAAATGAGCCCAGAGGGAATTGCCGTGGTCGATGGATGTGGATGGTTGTTGGGGAAGTCGTAGTTTCGGCAGGAAGAGGCTGCGATGGATGAGGAACTCGTACTGCATCAGCGACCTGCGGCGACCGTCTTTCGGAGACCGTTCATCGTTCCCGTCAAAGAGAAATACGTCCAATGTAGGAGGTACATGTTTTGGCGGCCAGACAATGACCACGGAACGCGTTACGGGATGCAGGAGCAGGAGGGCATTAGCGAAGTCGAGAACGAGGTCGTGGAGTCGCTTTACAGCGGCGGCGGGTGATGAAGCAGCGTGAGGGGACGAGCGGGAAGCCATTTTTTCGGGTATAAAAGGCGACCGATGAGAGTTACGCTAGGTGTGGTTGATTGGCATCATATTTGGCGACAAGCAGCGACAACAGCGTCCTAGTTATATCGAATGGTCGAATGTGCATGAATATCCATGTCGGAAAGGGGAGATGACCAGTCTGGGAAGAAAGAAGAACGAGGGATATGGCCCTAAGGATGCTTGTCGCCAATTCTGCAGGAAATGAGCTCGACCAGTCGGAAAGCCTAGCCCAAGAACGCACCTTGGATCATCTATACCGTTGCACATAGTCGCGCGAAGTTCTCCATCCACTTCGAGGGCGCATATGCGTCTTTAGCCAAGCGCGCGAGACTTTCTCATTCAGTCGTGGTCGCCCCAGTACAAATGATGAAGTCCAGATATTGCAGGAGCCACCGTCGATATAGGGGCATGCTTGAAGGCGGATTAGAAGGCATATACGCCAGGAGAACCTGTGGGTGGAGGTGGAAGTCCAAGAAAGATCTTTGCCTGCGAAAAATAATGTGAGTGAGCATGATTCAGGAACAGCCAGTACATAACTCACCGCGAAGCGCACCGAAATCACCTAATTGCAGCCAGAATGCCCCATTATAGGGCCCTCAGCGACATCTCTCTCTATCCCACCCAGCCCAATCGACCCGCTTTAAAAGCTTTTCCCCGTCTTGTTTGTCAAAGATACCACGTCATTGGTCTTCAGGCTCTAAACACAGCCGGTCGAGCGGAGGAATGCGATGGAGAACGGCTGCCCGCGCGCCGCATGCTGGTAAACCCGACGGAGGACATGAAGAAAAAGGACAAGATGACGATTGCCTTTTTCGGCCAGGCGATGGTTGTTCCCGATTGCCACTATTCCTCGTGCGCGGGCACCAGCGACGGCGCATTCATACATCTGGACTGGCTCCACATATCTCATAGCATACCTAATCTTTGCTCATCGCTGGGTGACTGTCTATCAATACCTTCAGTACCTAAGAACATCTTAAGCTGTTGCTCCAAGAATCCAAGCTGCTGCTTAGCTGCAACGGTCGCCCATCTTCAGATTCTTGCTCGACTGTTCTCGCTGGGGCCCATGAATCGGCACTTACATACTTTAGCTTTTCAAATGCCCTCTCGAGTTGTTGCTCCGTACTCTCTGACAGGCTTTCGGCGTCATCATCTAGCAAGTACCGTACCAGGCTTTCGGCGTCATCATCTAGCAAGTACGGAAGCCTGTCATCGCCGTACTTGAAGTACGGCGATGACCCGCAGCGCAACCAATTGACATGTGTCTTGCTTCTGCCCTCTTCCTCACTCACCTCCCTCGACAACGAGCACCTCCAGAACACGCATCTCATTCGTGTTCTATATGCACAAGACAAGGCAAATGTAGTAGAGCTATGTAGATGCTCGGTAAGATTTCCCACCACTCTGCACTGGTGCTGACATACCTCTTAGATTCCGCCGAGTCCCTACCTTCGGGCGCATGACCATTCGACGTTTTCATCGTGCAGTATCCGAAATGAAGAAAATGGCGGCTCGGGACTTCGAAGACATCCTCCAGGTAAGTTACAGCTCTGTGGATAAGTCAGTCCAAGTTTTGACTTCACATCAGTGCTTGCTTCCCGTTTGCGAAGGTCTCTTCGGTGAATTCGATGCCCTGGTTCAACTTCTGGTATTCCGCCTGCAGATCTGGCATGCATACGCCAAGTTGCGCCTCCATACATCCACCACCATTGAACGCTTTCGCAAAGCCACCTCCGAGCTCTGTGAAACAGTGCGGAAATTTGCGCGCGATACCGCGAAGGTTGAAACCCATGAGCTCCCACGAGAGCAGAACGCTCGCATTCGTCGAAATGCAGCAAAGGCTGCGCGTCGCGCTGAAGCAGGAGACGCTGGGGACGATGAAGCTGTTGATGAAGATCAAACTATTCCGCGTCGAGCGAAACCACTGAACCTTGAGACATACAAGTACCAAGCTTCAACCCTGAGCACGAACTCGAGCCCATCCTACGCTTCATTTTCATCCACCAGAGTAAGCTCTGGTCCGTGCTGGTTCATGCGGTGAGTTGTCCCTTCATCCCTGTCCTTTACAATGCCTGATCTCTCTGTTCGAGATCCATAACGCGTCGCAGACCGAACGCGAGCAAAATACCAATAAGTTCAAGTCTCAATTCGCCTACCTCGTTCCTGAACCTAGTCAAGGTCACGCATTGCATCCTCCGCTCATCGATGGCGACGAGAGCAAGTCTAACCGGGGCTCTAATCATCCCGTCTGCCGCGCTTACTTGCTACCACCATGCGAACGCGCCAAGTTTCCAGAACTGACCTTTTCTGCCGCTGATACAAGGTAACTTCATCTGTTTTACATTCTTTTTGTTGCTTATGCTCCCTCATAGTGCTACGTATTCGTACGTCCCTGGTTTTTCTCGACAATGATGCTGATGATATCCTCCCATCCCCGCGCATCCTGTCGCTTACTAAGCTTTACCTGCATGTACTTGATAGCTTCAGAATAAGATTAGCAATTGTCTTGGCAATTGTATCATCTTGTATCTGGAATGCAAATGGCACCAGCAAGGTGTCAAAGCTCTGAATTATATATTCAAGGACCCTCCAAGGTGACCATAAGCCTCTGACAAGGGCTGCAAGGGCAACATAAGTTATCAGGGAATCAGAGCATTTCAAGGAATCTTATGATTGTCAGGCCATCCTGGCCTTGGGACCTTTGCAAGGAATAGATTCCTGACAGTGCAAACAAGGCCTTGTGATGCTTGCATGCACCTTTCTGAGCCTTTCCACTTTCTAAGGTTTCCTGTAACCTATATGTGAGAGATTATATAATCTCAGTTATGACGTCGCCGAGTTCTTTCCCCGACTCTCTCTGAAAGAGAGAAGAGGGTTTTGTCTTGATTAAGTAATTGCCCCGCCAAAGTAGATTCCATGCGATCGGTGAGCTTTCCCACAAGTATGATTTTAAAATTTGGGTCCGATGTTGCGATCAATTAAAATCAAATGACGTGCGATTGACGTGTGATTGATCACACCGTGACGTACGCTTAATCATCCTCGATACTCTTGTCTTCTCCGCTCATCTGAGTCTATCCTTTGCACTACCAGACCATCGTCTTGATAGTGTATTCCCACACACACAATTGATCCTTCGTTCAATTTGTGGTGTTACTTGTTGCTCACATATCAAGCCTTCGCTTGTTGTGTGATTTGAAGCTTGAATAACAAGAGAACTTGATCAGAATTATAGCGCTGACAATAAACTCTGGTTTGGGATTTATGATGTTGATTAAACAACCATGTCGTATATCTTTTGTGATTGATGAAGAATATTTTCCATCTGATTATGAGGAAAACATCAATCCTCTAGATTATCCTTTATGCTATTCTCCTCTTTATTATCCAGAATATTATCCCATGTTATGGAAGACATCTGAAAACATATCAACTTGGTTGATATCTTGTTTCCAATTCTACTTTCCTAAATTAACCTTTAAAGTGGAGTACCATGATTCTAATTTTTATATCTATTCCAATAAAAAAGATTTAACAACTAAAAATATCTGTTTGACCCTAAATGCTGAAATCATTGCCAAAACAAATTTTCATCCTATGTCATATGCTGCATTACTGAATATAAGAGATGAAAAAAATATTCCTTTATGGTTTACCTTTCCAATTCAACATTACATTGATAGTCTTCAAATGATAACCTTAGGTCAGTTGAAAGAAACTTATCCATTATTAAATAAAAAAAATGAATAAATTATCTATTTATCATATGATGATACATAAATTTCTAGATTCTTGTATTGAATTTATTAATAATACGACTGAAAATATCCTGAATATATTAAATAATCATTTATTCAATATTTATACATCTGTAGATGTTCTTGCATATAATTATATTTTGAGATCAGTTCCTAGATATATATTAAATCTTCTTATGTTGCCAATCTGTTATAAAAATATACACATAGTGCCATGCTTTACTATATCAGCCATTGAACCAACTAAAATATTAATTATACATACTTTAAAACAAATTATCAAATCATTACATATATCTAGACAATCTGTTAAGCTAACTAATTCATTTAGAGAATTATCAGATTTTATAGTACTAAGTATACAAGAAAGGATCAATTTTCTTTCAATATTTGATAAATATGATATAGAAAAATTTATTCGCTGCTTTCTACCTGAATTTAACTCAGACGTAAACCATACTATTATGGAATTAATTGTTATTTTTTTGAGATATGAATATAATATTGATGTAACTTACTTGATTAGAAGTTTGAATGATAATAGTAGTTCATTTACACCAATTGACTATTATAATGATCTTGAAAAAAACTGGCCACAGATACCATCATTACAACAGAATATCACGTGTATGAGAGATTATTATATAGGATCACAGTGGCAATATTCAGAAATTTGTGCATGTTGTACTTGTTTAGGTAACACTGAAGACTTTCCAATTATTAAGATATCTCCCACCCTTCAGAATAGTTCAGTTAATATGGAACATTTACAAGTTTTACAATGTAATATTAGACAAGTGAAAGATCATTTCAAATTTCCTTTATATCTTAATCATTTAGATAGAATAATGCTAGACTCCCGGGGTATTCAAGATTATACAATAAATTTATGTTCAGATTGCCATAGATCATTAAGTAGATCAGAAATTCCCAGATTTTCCTTGCGTAATGGATTATACCGAGGTCATTTACCTATAGAGTTTCAGGATCTTACATGGATTGAAGAGATGGCTTGTTGTATTTATCGCACAACTGCCCATGTAGTGTGTTTATTCAACAGAGAATGGGATGAAAGAGAACCAATGATATTACATGGAAATGTCTATGCTCATAATACTAATATTATTGAAACTACTGATATACTTCCCAGAACCCTACAAGATATTACTGGTTGCATATCAGTTGTTTTTTTTAGGTCCTAAGAATGCAGATTCAATCAAAGCTGCTTGCTCAAATATATTCTCTATAAGAAAGCAGAAAATTTGGAGATTTCTGCATTGGTTGAAATTTGAGGCATGTAATGCTCTATATCAAGAAATTCATTTATCACAAGAAAACCTAAACCTGTATACAACAGACAACTTTCTTCCAGGTATTGAACATAGATTTATCCATGATACTGAAATTAGTGCTCAAGCATTATTTGAACATGAATCAGCTGGGATTGAAAACCATCCTGCAGCAGATTTAAAGAGTTCTGCAGACTCTAAGACTATATTTTTGGAAAGTCTTGGTGTGTCTGATCCTGATAGTACCAGTTTGGATACGAATACTATGACTGCATCAGCACTTCGAAATATGTACATAAAACCCTCTGAAGATAGTCGTAAATTAAATGTTAAGACAAAAGGCACAAATCCAGATCTTAGAATTTACAGAGGGACAACTGCTATTGCAGAATATAGAAATCCATATTTATTTCCAGGTATGTTTCCTTCTCTCTTTCCTTATGGAATAGGTGGTTTTGATAGCAATAGACCAGTTAAAATTTCTTTAGAATTACAAACAAATTATTTATTAGATATATGTGATAGAGATTTTCGTTATCATAGATCTTTTATCTTTGTTGTTTTTAATATTATTCAACGCCGACAAGCTTATTTACATACATATTTAACTGTTCAACAAGATCGGTTTCATAGTTTGGCTAAACGTTTAGCATCTATAGATGAATCTATAGTACTTCATGTAGCACAGCGTCTTGAAAAGAGGAAAAAAAACTAGTCAATCTCACCCCTGATGAAAAGAAAGTATTTGAGCTACTTAATGAAGTCAAAAGTATATCAGCTAAAATTCCTGGATCTACAGCAAGTAAATTAAATTGTAGAAACCAAATTAGAGGATATATGGGTCTATTTGGAATGCCATCATTGTTTTTCACATGTAATCCTAATGCAGCTAATAGTCCCTTATTTCAAGTAATTTTTGGTGATACAAAAGTAGATCTACAAACAAAATTCCCTAAAATAGTAGAATATAATACACGTGCTATGAGATTAGCTAAAGATCCTGTAGGAGCAACAGATTTCTATCATTTTTCCATTAAATGCATCTTTCAGTATCTTTTTGGCTGGGATTTTGTTAAGAAACAAAGTTCTGAAAAAGGTGGAATATTAGGACATATAAAAGCTTGGTATGGTATTAATGAACTGACTGAACGTGGTGGTTTGCATGGTCATTTTTTGATTTGGTTACATGGTGCAGTAAACCCTTCAGATTTGCATGCTCAAATGCAAACAGATGATGATTTTGAACAAAAGGTTTGTCAATTTTTTGAAAATATAGTTTGGCATCATGTACCTCAAATTGACAATGAATTACTAAATGAAACAACATTAATAGGAGATCCTAGAACTGAGAGATTTGTTCCACCCCCAGTTATTGATCTAACTTCTGCCTCATTTTCAGAACTAAACAATTGTTCTAATCCTTATGAAACAATTCCTGTTAGCCAACATACTAAACTTGATGAAGAATTCATTATCTGGTGGACTACATTTCTTATAGAAATTGTACGATTAGGTAATATATTACAGAAACATAAATGTAAACCTGGTTGTCATAAGTATGGTCATGATGACAACTGTAGATTTCTCTTTCCACATGAGATAGCCCTTAATACAACATTTCATAAAAAAACTAATTCATTTATTCTTCGTTGTTTAGATCCTTTGATGAATTGGTTAAATCCATATATCATGATTTGTGTAAGACATAATCATGATTTGAAATGTATATTATCAGGTAAATCAGCTAAAGCTGCCATGTTCTACATCACAGATTATATTACAAAGTTTGATGAAAAAACTTATCAGACACTATCTTTACTATCAGCAGCTGTATTGTCTAACCATAAGAATATGCCTAATAGAGAAGAGCATCCTTTGACTGCTTCTAAAGATCTTTTAAATAAGTGTCTTTCTCAATTAACTCGTCAACAGCATATTCATGCACAACAAGCAGCATGGTATATTCGTGGCCATGATGATGCCTTTTGTTCTCATAAAACAGTTTCAATGATGTCATCAGCATTAATAGCTAGAGTTAAAAATTTATATATGAAAAACTTACCAAGTCATATATTGGCAGATGAACATATTGATTCAGATGAAAATGAAGAGATTGATTCTGAGCCAGTTGATCCTGTTGAAACTCCTGTTCGAATAATAATTGCACCAGGAGGACAGTTGATACATTCTAACTCAATTGATAATTATCTATATCGTGATGAATTGCTAGAATCAGTATCATTTTATGAATTTGTCCATCGTTTTACTATAGAACCATCATCAAATAGTAGTAAGACAAAGTATCGAAGATATAAAATTAATCCTCCAGCACGGAAGTCTAATACACATCAGATTGTTGAACGTA